TGTTTGTGGGGGGGGGGGGGGGGGTATTATATTATTTTTTTCTTATTTCTTTCACATGTCTATGTTTTCTAGGTGAACACAGCTTCACCTTATTCCCTAGCATTAATTCTGCCAAGTGAATATACATTGTGCAAAGTGAACATTGACTTTTCTAAAGTAGAACTCCAGCTTATTCTCCACCCCATGTCCAACTTCCATTCCCCCTCCTGATGCCCACTCCAATCTTTTCTTTTTAAAGTAGTATTAAACTCTCAAACTTTGTTTCAATAATGAATCCAGATCAAATATATACTGTACGTTGCCCAGCAAGATACTACAAACAGCAGAATCAGTGGGGTGGTCACCCCTCCTGGAGTACTGCAAGTCTAGACTGCATGATGATGCACCCCCAGCCTGGACCCACATGCAGTGGGTTGGATGACACTGGCCGTCATTAAAGGTGAACTATGAGGTGTGTAATTTCCACTGATCTCATAGTTAGAGCCGACCTGTGACAAAGAGGCTGTCACAGGTCGGCTCTATTGATCTGGAAGTGAGCGAACACATACAGTTGCTCACTCACTTTCCGATCATCTCCCTGCAGAGAGCGGTCACTGTCAGTCACCACTCCCAGCAGGGATTCCCCCCTCCCCTCTCCGATCCTCCAGCGCTGAGTGGAGGAACAGACGGGGAGGGGACAGGCACAGCTGGCTCTGCCTCTATATAGGCAGAGCCAGCTGTCACTCACACAGCTGGGTGGATCCAGACAGTATTGTCGGGATCCGTCCTGGCTGCGGTGCTCTCAGTATATCGTGGGCAATAGCACGCGATATACTGAGCTATTGGTCATGGTAGGAGGTTAGTATATGTCCTCCTGTGACCCTAAAGAGAACTATGGGGAACAACACTTACCCCATAGTTCTCTTTTAACCTAAGAAATAAGTGGTGAATAATTGCATAATTGCATAATTGCAAAGTGGGAATAATTGCATCAAAAGCTCTTTTTTTATTTTAAATGTTTTATATCAGCATATAAAAAAAAAAAAAGGAACCCTGTTGTACCAAGTGATGCAGACACTTCACAGCTCGATGTTAGCAGTCAATCAGATACTAGAGATGAATATATTAAGTATCATAAATGCAATTATATCAGGGCACATTTCGCCACAAGCAACTTGAACTGTGCAAGCTGCAATAACTCTCAAATAATAAAAATGAAGATTTACATTTGGTATTTCTATAAGTGGAACCTTGTCCCAATTTTGTTTAGAATTGCTAAATTAATGTTAGGGACAAATTAATTCCTCACTTGCTGAACTCAGAGAGATATTAAAAGGTCATCATTACATATATATACTGTATATATATATATATATATACATACACAGTATGCAACATTATATAATTTGTATATGTATATAATTTTAAGGAATCATTAATTGTATTTTAACTATAGTTAGTATATACACTTAAATAGGGATGAGCTTTGGGTTCCGGTTAAACTGACCATATCTTGACTGTTCACGGACCAGAAACCTCCCGCAGCAAAATGACAGATCCCTGGCTGGCTGGCTGGCTGGTGTTTATAAACAAAGCAGAAAAGGTTCCCAGGTGCTGTCACCCAGGATCATTGGCTGCTTTTTGTTTTACATACAGCAGCCAGCCTGGGCATCTGCCATTTTGCGTTGGGAGTCCTCCGAGTAAACATTATTGGGCGACGGGTTCTAATGCCACTGGGCCAACATTGTTGGGCGTCGGTTTATTGTGCTGGCAGGTCATTGTGATTGATGAGGATTTACATTATTGGATGATGTGATTGACACTGGGTTTAAATCAGGAGACCTCTTTACTTTTTTTCACAAAAACGCTTTGTCACAGTTTGGGTGTTTTATTTACTTTTAACTTATTTCAGGAATAAGTAAGGGTTCATATGTACCCTGTATTCATTCACCCGGGGGTAGGGACACATATCTGGAGTGCCCCTAATTATAAAGGGGGCTATAAGATTCTGATAAGTCCCCCTTCCCCAGAAACCCCTCATCCCTTTCAGGAGACTGGATGTGGAGATTAGGTCCTTGTCCCTGTCAACATAGCGATAAAGTGTCTTGCAGGGGAGGAGGCTTTCACTGAAATATGGTCATGACCATATTTGATCAATGACATCACCCAGCCGCAGACAGCCGGAAAACAGCTGACTGAGAATAATTCTACCACCACTAAATGACAGATCGCTGGCTGGTTTGTTCACAAACAGAAGCTGGCCAGGGATCTGTCATTTAGTGGGAGTAGTACTACCGCCCCTAAATGACAAATGGATGGCTGCTGTCTGTAAACAAAGTTTTAAAGAACTATATTGTACTACTGTCTAACTTCACATTAAGTTTTAGGGCATCCCCAAAGCATGTTATTTAAAGGATGTTTGTTTTTTGTATTGTTGCCCTTTTATCTACATTAAAAGATCTTCTCCCTGCTGAACAATCATTTTTAAAACATTTTTTGCATAATTAAATTTTCCCCACGGAAGTGCACAGCTACCAATGCCCTTTGTTAACAAAATCTTGCAAACAATATTTGGCTCCAATAAACTTCAATAGGATTCAACGTTCAGGGTGCGCGGACTTCCTGCTGGGTTTGTTGAATGAACAGCGAACTGAACTTTGCCCAGTTCGCTCATCCTTACACTTCAATATGTCTTTATGTTAACTACCTGTAATCCCCTGCACAGCAAACAGGGAGAGGGAGGTCCAACATTGTGGGACAATCAGGCCCCTGTGCATTGCCTAGAACTCTCAGTCTAACACTTGGAGGTTGCTGAAAGGAGAACTGAGTTGGCTCCTTCAGTGTTTAGTAAAAAGGCAGGTAAAAGTTAGCGTGCACTTTATTTGTATGTGCTACCTGTTGTAACATAATAGTTAAATAAACATGCATTCAAAGTATATACCCATATTATTCATTGCTTGAAAAATTTTATTATTTTCTTTTAATACACATATTTCTCAAAGGAAACAAAATGACTTATGATATAACCTTGTCATAATATTGTGTCTCGACAGTTGTGTTGTAAATTATGATATATCTACTTCAATCATAATTTAGAACATTGTCCACAACTGAATGTTCTAATTGTACATTTAATATAAAAACTAAACATATACTGTATGTGAAAATGTAGAATTACCTTGTAATGCAGCACTCAATGATATCTGTAATTTGTTGCTGAGTTTTTATTTTTATTTTAAAGCTGGACTGAATTACAGAAACAGAATACTGCTTTAACATTTCCTTGTATTACCTTTCCTTGGTGTTTCACAAAATACAATTAATATCTGTAAACTTATGTGTCCTCCACAACTGCCAAGGCACAATTTTGTGACAAGGTTATATCACAGGTCATTCTGGTTCCTTTGAGAAATATGTGTATTGAACGAAAATAATAACAGATACTCAGTTTTTCAAGCAATGAACCATATGGGTATATGTGTTGAAGGTATGTGTGTTTAACTATTACATAACAACAGGTAGCACATACAAATAAAGTCCAAAAAATGTACAATATGTATATTTTAAAAAGCTACATTAAATAAATGTTTTTTAAAGATAAACTCCTCTCTAAACAGATCTTTTCCACCACAGACTTGTCTAGATCTTTAATAATAAACTATTTTATCTCCATTTACAAATCTGGGAAAGCTGCTTATAGGCTGATTAGCTGATCTTTTTTAACGAGATTTCAGCTAGAGTCACTGAACATTTTTGAGGTGTTTTACAACAAAGAAACAAAAGAGATGTTGGAAAGTGTGAAAATGAGTCTAAAGCACCATCTGCTGGCTTGATAAAAGAATACATAATATTCATAAGATGCATTTTATATTTATTGATATCTCTCTTTCTCCCCTTGGTACTTTTTTATGGACAGGGGGGTTCTTTTGCCCCCCTGAATATCCCATCACTGTCTGGATGG